CTGGAACAGTGTGGAGGGGTCAGAAGACGGGAAAACGTGGGAAAGTCTGGAACTGGGAATGGGCAGAGGCTGGAACCGTGTGGAGGGGTCAGAAGAAGAAGGAAAACGTGGGAAAGTCCGGAACTGGGTAATGAGCAGAGGCTGGAACAGTGTGGAGGGGTCAGAAGAAGACAGGAAAATGTGGGCAAGTCTGGAACTGGGAATGAGCAGAGGCTGGAACAGTGTGGAGGGGTCAGAAGAAGAGGGAAAACGTGGGAAAGTCTGGAACTGGGTAATGAGCAGAGGCTGGAACAGTGTGGAGGGGTCAGAAGAAGACGGGAAAACGTGGGAAAGTCTGGAACTGGGAATGGGCAGAGGCTGGAACAGTGTGGAGGGGTCAGAAGAAGACGGGAAAACGTGGGAAAGTCTGGAACTGGGAATGGGCAGAGGCTGGAACAGTGTGGAGGGGTCAGAAGAAGAGGGAAAACGTGGGAAAGTCTGGAACTGGGTAATGAGCAGAGGCTGGAACCGTGTGGAGGGGTCAGAAGACGGGAAAACGTGGGAAAGTCTGGAACTGGGAATGGGCAGAGGCTGGAACAGTGTGGAGGGGTCAGAAGAAGAAGGAAAACGTGGGAAAGTCCGGAACTGGGTAATGAGCAGAGGCTGGAACAGTGTGGAGGGGTCAGAAGAAGACGGGAAAACGTGGGCAAGTCTGGAACTGGGTAATGAGCAGAGGCTGGAACAGTGTGGAGGGGTCAGAAGAGGGAAAACGTGGGCAAGTCTGGAACTGGGTAATGAGCAGAGGCTGGAACAGTGTGGAGGGGTCAGAAGAAGAGGGAAAACGTGGGAAAGTCTGGAACTGGGTAATGAGCAGAGGCTGGAACGGTGTGGAGGGGTCAGAAGAAGAGGGAAAACGTGGGAAAGTCTGGAACTGGGTAACGAGCAGAAGCTGGAACCGTGTGGAGGGGTCAGAAGACTGGAAAACGTGGGCAAGTCTGGAACTTCCTAGAGACTTGCTGAATGGTTTTGACGAAGATGCTGATAGTGACATGGACAGTGAAGTCCAGCTGAGGTGATCTCAGGTGGAGATGAGGAAGGAACGTATTTGGAACTGGAGTAAAGGTCATTCTTGCTATGCTTTAGCAAAGAGACTGGCAGCATTTTGCCCCAGCCCTAGAGATCTGTGGCACTTTGAACTTGACAGACATGATTTAGGGTACCTGGAGGAAGATATTTCTAAGTGGCAAATCATTCAAGAGGTGACCTGGCCTGGTTGCTCCTAACTGTACAATCGTATGTGTTCACAAAGTGATAATCTGAAGTCAAAACTTACGTTTAAAAGGGAAGAAGAACATAAAAGTTTGGAAAATTTGCAGCCTGACCATGTGGTAGAAAAAACCATTTTCTGGTAAGAAATTCAAGCCGGATGCCAGGCACGGTGGCTCACACCTGCAATCCCAGCACTTGGGAGGCCAAGGTGGGTAGATCACCTGAGGTCAGGAGTTTGAGACCAGCCTAGCCAACATGGCAAAACCCCATCTCTACTAATAATACAAAAATTAACCAGGCGTGGTGGCGGGTGCCTGTAATCCTAACTACTTAGGAGATCGAGACAGGAGAATTGCTTGAACCTGGAAGGCGGAGGTTGCAGTGAGCAGGGATTGCACCACTGCACTCCAGCCTGGGCAACAAGAGTGAGACTCTGTTTCTGGGGAAAAAAAAGAAAAGAAAATGAAAAAATCTACCCATGTGACAAAGGGCTGATATTCAGAATCTACAAAGAACTAAAACAGATTTACAAGAAAAAAACAAACAAGCCCATTCAAAAGTGGGTGAAGGACATGAACAGACACTTTACAAAAGAAAACATGCATGAGGCCAACAAACATATGAAAAAATGCTCATCATCTCTGGTCATTAGAGAAATGCAAATCAAAACCACACTGAGATACCATCTCATGCCAGTTAGAATGGCGATCATTAAAAAATCTGGAGACAACAGATGCTGGAGAGGATGTGGAGAAATAGGAACACTTTTACACTGTTGGTAGGAGTGTAAATTAGTCCAACCATTGTGGAAGACAGTGTGGCCATTCCTCAAGGACCTAGAAATAGAAATTCCATTTGACCCAGCAATCCCATTACTGGGTATATATCCAAAGGACTATAAATCGTTCTACTATAAGGACACATGCACACGAATGTTCATTGCAGCACAGTTTACAATAGCAAAGACCTGGAAACAACCCAAATGCCCATCAATGATAGACTGGACAGGGAAAATGTGGCACATATATACCATGGAATATTATGCAGCCATCAAAAACGATGAGTTTGTGTCCTTTGTAGGGACATGGATGAACCTGGAACCAACATTCTCAGCAACTGACACAAGAACAGAAAATCAAACACCGCATGTTCTCACTCATAGGCGGGTGTTGAACAATGAGAACACATGGACACAGGGAGGACAGCATCACACACTGGGGTCTGTTGTGGGAGGGACAGTGGGGGGTGGGGATTTGGGGAGAGATAGCATGGGGAGAAATGGCAGATATAGGTGATGGGGAAGAAAGCAGCAAATCACACTGGCATGTGTGTACCCATGCAACAATCTTGCATGTTCTTCACATGTACCCCAAAACCTAAAATGCAATTAAAAAAAAGAAATTCAAGCTGGCTACAGAAATTTATATAAGTAAAAAAGAGCCAAATGTTAACAGCTAAGACAATGCAAAATGTCTCCAGGGCAGTCAGAGATCTTTGTGGCAGCCCCTCCCATCGTAGGCATGGAAGCTTTGGAGGGAAATGATTTCATAGGCAGGGCGCAGGGTCCCTGCTGCTCTGTGCAGCATCAGGACATGGCACCCTACCTCACAGCTGCTGCAGCTCCCGCTGTGGCTAAAAGGGGTCCAGATACAGTTCAGGCTGTTGCTTCAGAGGGTTCAAGCCCCAAGCCTTGTCAGCTACCATATGGTGTTGGGTCTGCAAATGTGTAGAAGGCAGGAGTTGAGACTTGGAAGCCTCCACCTAGATTTAGAGATGTATGGAAATGCCTGGATGTCCAGGCAGGGTCTGCTGCAGGGGCAGAACCCTCATGAAGAACCTCTACTAGGACATTGCAGAGGGGAAATATGGCATTGGATCCCCCACAGAGTCCCCACTGGGATACTGCCTAGTGGAGTTGTGAGAAGGCCACCATACTCCAGACCCCAGAAGGGTAGTTCCACTGACAACTTGCACTATGCACCTGGCAAAGTAGCAGGCACTCAACAGCAGCCCGTGAAAGCAGACAAAGGGGCTGCACCCTGCAGAGCCACAAGAACAGAGCTGTCCAGAGTCTTAGGAGCCCACCCCTTTTATAAGCATGCTCTGAATGTGCGACACGGAGTCAAAAGAGATTATTTTGGAGCTTTAAGATTTAGCTGGGTGTGGTGGCTCATGCCTGTAGTTCTAGCACTTTGGGAAGCCAAGATGGGAAGATTGCTTGAGGCCAGGAGTTTGAGACCAGCCTAGGTAACATGGCAAAACCCCATCTCTACCAAAAAAAATACATACGCACAAAGTAGCCGGGCATGGTGGTACCTGCCTGTAGTCCCAGCTACTTGAGAGGCTGAGGAGGGAGGATGGTTTGAGCCCAGGAGGCAGAGGATGCAGTCAGCTGAGATCACACCCCTGTACTCCAGCCTGAGCAACAGAGCCAGACCCCATAACAAAAAAAAAAAAAGATTTAATGACTGCCCTCTTGTGTTTTGAACTTGCATGGGGCAATTTCTCCCATTTGGAATGGAACATTTATTCAGTGCCTGTACCCTCATTGTGTCTTGGAATTAACTAACTTATTTTTTATTTTACAAGCTTATAGGCAGAAGGGACTTTCCTTGGCTCAGATGAGACTTTGTCAGAGGCATATGAACCAGCCATCTTGAATAGAAGCTGAGTACAACGAGGCTGAAACCTACCGGGCTGCATTCCCAGACAGTTAAGGCATTCTAAGTCACAGGATGAGATACGAGGTCAGCACGAGATACAGGTCATAAAGACCTTGCGGATACAACACATTGCAGGAAAGAAGGTAGCTAAATGCTACCAAACCCAAAATGGCCACGAGGGTCACCTCTGGTTGTCCTCACTGCTACACTCCTACCAGCGCCATGACAGTTTACAAATGCCATGGCAACATCAGGAAGTTACCCTATATGGTCTAAACAGGGGAGGCATGAATAATCCACCCCTTGTTTGGCATATCATCAAGAAATAACCATAAAAATGAGCAACTAGGAGCCCTCGTGCTGCTCTGTCTCCGGAGTAGCCATTCTTTCATTCCTTTACTTTCTTAACAAACTTGCTTTCACTTTGCACTTACACTTACACTTTGCAGAGACTTGCCCTGAATTCTTTCCTGAGCGAGACCCAAGAATGCTTTCCTGGGGTCTGGATCAGGACTTCCTTCCTTTAATACCTCTGGACTTGGACTTTTGAGTTAACGCTGGGATGAGTTAAGACTTTGGGGACTGCTGAGAAGGGATGATTGTATTCTGCAATGTGAGAAAGACGAGATTTGGGAGGGGCCAGGGTGAAATGATAGGGTTTGGATTTGTATCCCTGCCCAGATCTCATGTTGAACTGGAAGTGGGGCCTTGTGAAAGGTGATTGGATCAGGGGGTTGCTCTTGTTATAGTGAGTTCTCACAGGATCCGACGGTTTAAAAGCGGGTGGCACTTCCCCCTTCACTCTCTCTGCTGCTCTGTCATGGTGAGCAGTGTTTGCCTCCTATTCAACTTCTGCCATGATTGTAAGTTACCTGAGGCCTCCCACCCGTGCTTCCTGTACAGCCTGTGGAACCGTGATTCAATTAAACCTATCTTCATAATTACCCAGTCTCAGGTAGTTCTTCATAGCAGTGTGAGAATGGACGAATACAACACTTCTTCACAGGGGAGAGAGAAGATGGGGAATGTAGGCAATTCTTTTGAGGAGCAATAAATGATTAGGGAGAATAAATAGACAAGGCAGACACATTAACTTGTAAGTGATTCTCTTTGCAATTTGAATGAGCAGGAGAGGCAGACATTATCTTGTGAAAAACTCCATCCAGGTGTGATTACATTCTTCAGGTTTTTTTCTCTGCCATAGATCATGATATTTCAAGGATGGGATAAAAAGCAATTATGTTTTTCTTGGTAAGAAGTTTTATTGGCCAGGCACAGTGGCTCATGCCTGTAATCCCAGCACTTTGGGAAGCTGAGGCAGGAGGATTTCTTGAGCCCAGGAGTTTGAGACCAGCCTGGACAACATGTGGATACCCCATCGCTAGTAAAAATGTTAAAATTAGCCAGGTGTGGTGGTGCATACCTATGGTCCCAACTACTTGGGAGGTTGAGGCGAGAGGTATAATCCAAAAAGTATCAGAGAAAAGTCTCAATTAATTTAGGAGTTAATTTTGCCAAGGTTAAGGACACACCTGTGACACAGCCTCAGGAGGTCCTGAAGACATGTGCCCAAGGTAGTCGGGTACAACTTGCTTTTAAACATTTTAGGGAGACATGAGACATCAATAATTATGTGTAAGATATACATTGGTTGGGTCCAGTAAGGCAGGATAACTCAAAAGGTGGTGGGGTAGGGAGCTTCCAGGTCAAAAGTAGATAAGAAACAAAAGGTTGCATTATTTTGAATCGTAGATCAGCCTTCCACTGAATACACAATTTATTCTGGCTCAGCAAACCTGCAGCAGAGGAAGCAATTGGATATGCATTTGTCCCCAGTGAGCCTCACAGGGATGACTTTGAGTCCTGTCTGTCCTTTGTCCACAAGGTGAGGAAAGTATGTAGCTTTTGATCTTTGTAGCCACCTTACTTAGGAGTAAAATGGGAGGCAGAATTGTCTGACATAGTCTCTAGCTTGACTCTTCCCTTGGCTTGGTGACTTTGGGGTCCTGAGATTTAGTTTCCTTTCACGATAGTAATGAGGCATGTCTGACTCCCACTTCCCATCATGGCCTGAACTAGTTTTCCAGGTTACCTTTGGAATGCTTTTGGCCAAGAGGAGTCCATTCAGATGGTTGGGATAGAGGAGTCCATTCAGATGGTTGGGATAGAGGAGTCTGAGTTTTATTTTTGTTTTACAGAGGACTACTTGAGCCCCAGAATTTGAGGCTTTAGTGAGCCACCACTGAAGTTGAGCCTGGACAACAAATCAAGTCCCTATCTCAAAAAAAAAAAAGCTTTCTTGGTCAGACAAGGAAATCCCAGAGAGTCTTCCCCTGTGCTTGGGGTTCACAAGGGGAACAAGACAAGGTTAGAGGGACCTTGATTCTGAGGCTTGTTTTCTTTCACTTTCCAAAAACACTCAGTACGCCCAAGCACCATATTTTGGAAATTGTTTTCTGTGACCCAACAGATGAAAAAATCATTTTAAGAAGATATGGATCAGAGACGAAAGAAGGGGATTAGAGGGTCCTTGTTGCCTCTTACTAAAGGCTCAGTGGGCTGGCTATGGCCAGCAACTGGGCAGGGAGCTAGACAACAGCAGGTACATTGGCATTCCCCACAAGAGAAAGAGGAACATGCAGAGGTGGCAGAAACCTGAGGGGTTACCAGCCTCATTCTCCATTGCCAAGGGGGCCCTTCATTCATCTCCTTTCCTCCCCAACATGATCTTTAATCATGTCACCTGGTTCATGTCTGCACGCACCTCCTGCTGCTACAGGCTAAGCGCATCCTGGCAGTGTGAACAAAGAAACCCACCCATTAAAAAGTGCTCTCTAGGCCAGGTGCAGTGGCTCACGCCTATAATCCCAGCACTTTGGGAGGCCAAGGCAGGCAGATCATCTGAGATGAGGAGTTTGAGACCAGCCTGGCCAACATGGTAAGACCCCATCTCTACTAAAAATACAAAAATTATCTGGACGTGGTGTCAGGTACCTGTAATCCCAGCTTCTGGGGAGGCTGAGGCAAGAGAATCGCTTGAACCTGGGAGGTGGTGGTTGCAGTGAGCCAAGATATCCCCATTGCACCCCAGCCTGGGTGACAGTGCAAGACTCCATCTCGAAACAAACAAACAAAAAAAGTGCTCTCCAACCTCTTGTGTGCATGTCTTTTTTGTGGAGGTCTGGGGAAGGGGGGCCCTACTACAGAATGAAACTACTCCTTGATGCCTCTTGGCACCTAACTGGCCTGCAAAGCTCAGCTCTGGGGTCCGTTCTGGCAAGGAGCCAGCAGGACTCCCCGTGGAAGCTTTCCCCCAGGCTGGGCCCCTCTGACTTGTGAGACTTCCAGAGCACTTTTATCTACAGTGTAGGAGGGGTCTGATGAAGCCTCTGGTTCCCCTCCTGGACTGAGGTCAAGTTCTGATGTAATTGCCCCACAGGTTCTCCTTGCCCACTGCCCAGAGCTGATTCATCAAGACGGGGGAATCGTAATAGAGAATTTAATTCATGCAGAGCCAGCTGAATGGGATACCAGAGTTGTATCACCCAAATAAATCTTCCCGATAATTCAAAAATTAGGTTTTTTTAAGGCTAATGTGGCTGGTAGGGTACCAGGCAGTGGGGAGTGCTGATTGGTCAGGTTGGAGATAAAATCCTAGGAGGTCTAAGCGGGTCCTTCTTGCTGTTTTCTGTTCGTGGGTGGGATTGCAGAACTGGGTGAGCCAGATAACTGGTCTGGCTACTGCCAGCTGGTGCCTCAGAATGCAGTATCTGAAAAATATCCCCAGCACTGATCTTACATTTTGCAATAGTGATGTTATCCCTTGGAACAACTGGGAAGGTTTGGAATCTTGTAACCTCTGGCTGGATGGCTCCGAAACCATAATTTCTAATCTTGTGGCTAATCTGTTAATCTTACAAAGGTAATATGGTCCCCAGGCAAGAAGGGGGTTTGTTTTCGGAAAGGGCTGTTAACACCTTTGCTTCAAAGTTCAACTATAAACTAAATTCCCCCAAAGTTAGTTTGGTCCATGTCCACGAATGAACAAGGGCAGCTTGGAGGTTAGAAGCAAGACGGAGGCAGAGCACGGTGTCTCATTCCTGTAATCCCAGCACTTTGGGAGGCCGAGGCAGATGGATCACGAGGTCAAGAGATCAGGACCATCCTGGTCAACATGGTGAAACCCCGTCTCTACTAAAAATACAAAAAATTAGCTGGGCATGGTGGCGCATGCCTGTAATTGCAGCTACTCGGGAGGCTGAGGCAGGACAATTGCCTGAACCCAGGAGGCGGAGGTTGCGGTGAGCCGAGATCGCGCCATTGCACTCCAGCCTGGGTAACAGGAGCGAAACTCCGTCTCCAAAAAAAAAAAAAGAAGAAGCAAGACGGAATCGGGTAGGTCAGATCTCCTTCACTGTCATAATTTCTCACAAGTTCTGCAAAGACAGTTCCACTGGACGCTCTGCATCTGTGTACGTACCCTCGGCGACCACACAGCTCTTGTGCTCTAAAGAACACCTGAGATCGGCTTTGGGAGACGGCAGCACCTTCCTCCTCTCGCAGCAGAGAAGGGTCGTTTCTGCTCCGGACATTGACCTGGAGCCTTTCCCAGCACGTCTAGCAAACAGCACGGAATCGCCCGGACTTCCGGGAAGACCCGGCCCAGCCGCCGAGGTCGCGGCTCCCCGGCGCTCTCTGCCGCCCTCTACCGGAGCCGAGGGAGCGCGACAGCTGCGATGTTGGGAAGGCCCTCGAGTCCTGAAGAGCGCACGCGCGAGCGCGCTCCTGCGTCCCCGGAGCCGGCTGGGTGTTCGGCGCATGCGCGCGGCGTGCGTGCCGCTCCGCCGACTCGAGAGGCCGGTGAGTCCTCAGGCTGGCAGGGGGAGCGGCCGGAGTGGCGCGGCCGGGAGCTCGTGCCCTGCAGGTCTGAGACGCTGGCCCTCGCTCCTGCCTGGGCCACTTAGGTGGGCTCAGGTCGTCCCTTTTTCCGGGGGGCGTGACCTGAGCCCGCCTCCCGGCTGCGGGTGGCGAGGAATGGGAATCATTAAGGCCCGTTATTAATTTGGCGCCTGCTGTTTGTTGCTCGAGGAGGGCACAGAGCTTGCAGACAGTGAGGAGGAAGGGGCGAGGCCGGGCCAGGTGGGAGCGGGGGTGCCCCGAGTCCCAGGGCGGTGAGGACCGCGGCAGGTGCGCAGAAGGCAGGCCCCGCCCTCCCTACCTCCCCACCCTCGCCGGCTGCGTGGGGCGGGCAAGAGGGGAGTGGGGAGCCGTGTTAGAAAACGATGGTCCCGATAGAAATCGTGCAGGTGTTGGGATCACATTCAGGGCGGCAACCTGTCGTGTTTGCGTTTTGACTTATAGAAACAAGAGATTCGGGGGGCCACTAACGCGCTCCCACTCTTCTCGTCTCAGGACATGACACCTGTAGCACAGCAAGGTCATGGGGTCTCAGCATTCCGCGGCCGCTCGCCCCGCCTCCTGCAGGCAAAAGCAAGAAGATGACACGGAGGATTTGCTGGCTGAACGAGAGCAGGAGGAAGCCATTGCCCAGTTCCCATACGTGGAATTCACGGGGAGAGATAGCATCACCTGTCTTACCTGCCAGGGGACAGGATACATTCCAACAGGTGACCAGGGAGGGATGGTTCCCTGATGAGAATCCCAAGGTACCCTCAGGGGTTCTCCTGTGTGCCCGGGCAACTTTTCTTCTAGGCAGTAATACCGTAGTAGAGACAGTGCCCTGGGCAGGAGCCGGCCCAGCTGATTCAATACACCTGGGCAGTTGGACAACTTCGCTTCCTCGTCTTATATTTCATACCCTTTCTTCTCTCCTTCACCTCCGCTCTTGTTCTTCTCCTGAGTTGGAGCATTCAGTTTGCTCTGTATTGCGGTCTTTGTTCACAGGCACGTTTCTTTATTGCTCTCCCTCACAAGGATTGGGACAGCTTCGCAGGGGTACCAGCTTGAAAGCTGCTTTTCAAGGAAATGGATAGCTAATCCTTAGCCTAAGGTCAGAAAAATGTATCGGGTCAGGAGAGAGAGACAAATGCTCAGCCTTGGTACAGGATCATCTATGACAATGAATAAGTTGGCCCTCAGAAAGGCTTTAACAGTTTAGCTGGAAAGTGACAGAAATTTAGAGCTGGTAAGAACTTAGAAGTCATTTACTCCAAAGCCTCCATATGAAAGCGGGGGGAACCATGGTCTTGAGACGTTCAACGACCCCGCGAAGCCCAGGTAGTACAGCCAGAGCAGGACCCCAGGTTTCACCTTCCACGTCACTACCCTGGCAGCACTGACGGATGTTTTATAATTTGTGGCATTCTCTTGTTTCTTGTTCATTAGACCCAAAATGTGAATTTCACTAGTATTTTTTAAAAGGTCTCCTTCCAGAAGAATATTTGTTGTGGCAGGCTCAAGTGAGACGTGAAGGAAAGTTCTACCAACACATGGGATTTACAAAATAATTGTTTGGCTCTTTTCTAGAGCAAGTAAATGAGTTGGTGGCTTTGATCCCACACAGTGATCAGAGATTGCGGCCTCAGCGAACGTGAGTTAACGGCCTCTCACCTGTCAACACCTGCTTCTGCCCCCAATCTGTTGCAATATGTGTGAATGCCAGTTAATTCCTTGAAAACCACATACATTTTTAATAAATTCCCCACTTATAAAATGGAGAAGATATCTCTGCCCCCCTCACAGTCTGGGGAAAGAAACTTGAAGCTGGAAAGGCTTTTGAAGGTCAAGGCGTGGGATTAGAAGAAACTCGGAAAGTGGGGCGTTCTGGGAGGTGTGGGAGTGTCTGTCCACATAGCTCCTTTCTTCAGCTTTTCTCCCCAGAGTGCAGTGTTGAAAGGCGTTTTAAAAGGCTTCTCCTGCTTCACTGCCTCTCGACGGGTTAATGTTTTCTGGCCCTTGGAACCTCCCTTTCACTCCCTTTTCTCCTTCCTGGTTTTGTGTTTAATCCTGACACGCTGAACCTTGATAACTGACTGCCCGGGTGGGTCATGTGCTGTGTCATTGGCAGGAAGCAGTACGTCCTCCTGTCCGTCCTGCTTTGTCTCCTGGCGTCTGGTTTGGTGGTTTTCTTCCTGTTTCCACATTCGGTCCTTGTGGATGATGACGGCATCAAAGTGGTGAAAGTCACATTTAACAAACAAGACTCCCTTGTCGTTCTCACCATCACGGTGAGCCTTGCAGTCTCCTGCCCTGGGTCGCACGCCCGCCAGGCTTGGATCCAGGACGCTTACTTTGTTTCCTCACTTGCCCTGATACAGGCCACCCTGAAAATCAGGAACTCCAACTTCTACCCCGTGGCAGTGACCAGCCTGTCCAGCCAGATTCAGTACATGAACACAGTGGTCGGTACATATGTGACTACCAACGTCTCCCTCATTCCACCTCGGAGTGAGCAACTGGTATGCTTTTCTTTTAGGAACCTTCTGCCACAGGCCTAAGAGAAGAGTAGGGGCTGCGGGAATGCCATAGCTGTCTCCTCATTTCTATTTGTAGGAACTCGTGATGAAGACCTGATGGGCCCTGTAACTATGAATAATTGTGAGAAAACCCAGCTAGCATTTAAGCACGTGGGGAGCAGAATAATCTGTAAGAGAAAAGGACTTGCTGCAGATTAAGAAGTAGCAGTGTTATAGCCTCAGGTCCATTGGCCTCTCTCTTTTCTTTTTTTTTTTCTTTTGAGATGGATCCAGGCTGGAGTGTGGTGGCACAATCTCGGCTCACTGCAACCTCTGCCTCCTGGGTTCAACCAATTCTCCTGCCACAGCCTCCTGAGTAGCCACAGCCTCCTGAGTAGCTAGGATTATAGGCATGCACGCCCAGCTAATTTTTGTATTTTTAGCAGAGACGGGGTTTCACCATGTTGGCCAGGCTAGTCTGGAACTCCTGACCTCATGATCTGCCCGCCATGGCTTCCCAAAGTTCTGGGATCACAGGCGTGAGCCACCGTGCCTGGCCCTTACTGGCCTCTCAAAAGGGAAGAAGTTGGGCCGGGCGTGGTGGCTCATGCCTGTAATCCAAGCACTTTGGAGGCCAAGGCGGGCGGATCACCTGAGGTCGAGAGTTCAAGACCAGCCTGACCAACATAGTGAAACCCCGTCTTTAAAAATATATGTATATAACAGGGAAGAGGTTGGAAGTAGCTATTAGAGGCTCATAGATTACATTAGGGACAGTTTCAGGGAGGTGTTTTGTATACAATGAAAAAATGACTCGGGTCTTTGGATTGCTCATAATAATACTGTTCTGTGTCAAGCCTGCTTGGCCACAGACCGACTCTGGTGTCTTATTTTCAGGTGAATTTTACCGGGAAGGCTGAGATGGGAGGACCGTTTTCCTATGTGTAGTAAGGACACTGTTCTGTGTGTGTGCGCTCTCTGCTGGAGGAAAGGGATTCAAAGTCATACTCCATTGACTGGGGCCTGGTCGTGCCTTAAGTCTCAGCTTTCGGCCTATAGGTTCCCTGTCTTTGACTATCTTGAGATTTATCTGAAGAATTTATTATGTATGTATATGAAGAATGTATTATTTGATATGTGAATGACGTGCTGGAATTTCTAAAAGAGAACATTAAGCCACTAAAAACGTTACCAAGCTCCAGCACTTTTCTGATGAGTTTGAAAAAACCAAAAAGCTATGGCGATGTGGGAGGATGAAAAGGACAGTGGAGGGACTCAGCTGGCGAGCCTTGGCGGCACTTAGGTGGGGGGAAGGGAGGCACCCCAAACAAGACAGCATAACTCCGTACTCTTCTGCCGAGGCTTTTCTTTTTTATGAAAAACTGACTACTTCCATATTTGCTGTTTGGTAGCTTCTTCTGCACGGTTCCTGACATCCTGGTGCACAACATCGTGATCTTCATGCGGTATGTCTCTTCCCGCTCCTGCAGCCTGTCAGGCCACGTGAGCTTACCGCCTTTGCTCAGGAGGTCCCTGTGTGACCACAGGGCAGAGGCACCTAGCCCGATGGGACACCTGATGCCTCACAGGCACAGATACAGTAGACCCTTGGTGTTCTCTAGACACAGTGTCCACATGTCCTTCACAAATCACTAGAGTCACCCTGAGCCATTTTCTCCACAAAATGGGGTCTAGTTTAAGTAAACACATGATCCCCTCAGAATCCTAATGAGACCAGTCATGAACAGAAAACTTTCTCAAGATGTGGGTACTGGGGGTTTGACCAGACTTCCTCTCTAGCCACACAAATCACCACATTATGGACCTTTAGGCTTATTTGTGGAACCATGACTGTTACATTTGCAAGTGACAAGACTCTGCTGCAGACGTGAAACGTGAGGGGTTAGAGTGGGGTTTCTCAGCCTTGGCACTATTAACATTTTGGCCCAGACCTTTGTTGTGGGGGGCTGTTCTGTGCATTGTAGGATGTTTAACGGTATTTCTGGCCTCTGCCCACTAGATCCCAGTAGTAAACGCCCCAGCCCTCAGTTGTAACAGCCCAGAACGTCTTCAGATGTTGCCAGAACTCTCCTGTGGGGTAGAATCATTCGCAGTTCAGAACCCTCGTCTACAGGGTCACCTCCTGGCACAGGACCTCTGTGAGCGTGGAAGGATCTTCTGGCCTCTTGGTTACATCACCGTGAGGCTGTGCCTGGGGCCCCGGATATTGTTGCCTGAACTTGCAAAAAATTTCCTGAGACGTTTTTCTTGCTTATTTCATTCCCCAAACATAATTAATTCTTGGTTTTATTTTCCCTAGAACTTCAGTGAAGATTTCATACATTGGCCTCATGACCCAGAGCTCTCTGGAGACACATCACTATGTGGATTGTGGAGGAAATTCCACAGCTATTTAACAACTGCTGCTGGTTCTTCCACAGCACCTGCAGAAGAGAGCACAGCATCTGTTTCCAAGGCCCGAGTTCCATACCTACCCCCAGGTGGTGTAAGCAGAGGAGGAATTGGTTCACTTAGCTCCCAGCAAGCATCCTCCTGCCACTTGGGAGGAAACACCTCTCTATGGTACCATTTATGTTTCTCAGAACCAGCAGAATCACTGCCCAGTGCCTAGCCTGTGCCCAGCAAATAGTTGGCGCTCAGTAAAGGTTTCCAGAATTTAATACGGATCTTTTCAGCTGTTCTTAGGGCATTATAAATGGGAACCATAACTTGGTTCTCCATTGATTGGGGCCTGGTTATCAAACCATGGAGTGACCTGGAGCTAGGACTGAGTGACCTGCAGGCCATTATCAGTGCCTCACCTGTGCAGAAGTGGTGGCAGAAAGGGACCATCTGAATACCTAAGAGAAAACAGACCCATTGAAGGTGTGAATTTGTTCCATCTGTTCCCAGAGGCCTGGGAGCTTTTCAAAAGGAAAGAAAATCGTGTGTTGGCTTTTTTTTTTTTTTTTTGTAGAAAGTTAGAATTGTTTTTACCAAGAGTCTATATGGGCTTGATTCACCCTTCATCCATTGTTTGGAACATGGATTGGGGATTTGATAGAAAAATAAACCCTGCTTTTGATTCATCTGTGTCTCCTCTGATTGCCTGGCTGTCTTTGTAGGCATCTCTGGGGGAACCATAGAATAGTTACCTGCCAAGTGGGTCAGGATGGGATGGGAGGAGAGAGACCGCACCCTGATTGTCCTCCCATTCCCATGAGTTTCTGTCACAGCAAGCAGTCTCATTTCCCTCCATTGAATTGACTCAGGGCATGGGCTGCCCTGTTCCCTTCTGGGACAGAGCACTCAGTGCCCCCTGGAGGTTGGAATCTAGTCCTGAATAAGACCCTGGTTTGAGGTGGTAAAATTTCCTGGGTCATCTTCACCTGCTCTGCCACCAAACGTTAGGCTACAGCCCAGGACAGCAGAGAATCTCGTTAAGAAGCGTGAGCAGTCAGGCGCCGGAAGTCAGCTCTTCCCATAGCACTGGGATCTCAGGAAATCCTACAACAGGTTGGGGCTGGGGCTGTGTATTAGTTTTTGTCTCCATTCCCATAGCTTGGTTTTCAATATGTGCTAAATGATCTTTGTAGTCTGAATCTTCAAACTCAGGCTAAATTTCATGTTTGGCTGACTTTGACCATGATGGAGGAAACCAGAAGCTGAGGGCTGATAACAGTTTTAGTGTTGCTCTGGATCATGTAGTGACACATGTACGTGACAGTGATGACCGATGTGGATTGACAGTGGGCCATCAGCACTTGCACGGAAGCAAATGTGCACCATTTTCGAGAATGTTGCCCTAATCAGAACATGCCCTGAACATGTGAAGATGTTCACATTGCTACATTTTCTTTTTAGTTTTCTTATTTTCCAAATAGCCTGTGTAGCAAATTTTTCATGGAATTTTGAAAAAGATACTCTGGTACTTCAGTTTTGAAACATTTTTTGTGACCACGTGCCTTAATATCATTTCTTGCTTTTGATATCTCAAAACCCATCTATGGTATTAGAATGAGAGCGCTCACCTTTTTAAAACATGTGGCAGTAAATGTGATGTTATACTACCAGTTCCCGTATCTGTTTATCAGCACCCCAAACTGCACGCACAGCTTTATTGTAGTGTCTGTCAGTTCCTGAACAAGTGTCTGGAATATTCTCTCAGCAGCCCTGACTAGAAAGGAAGTGGCTTTAATGTCATGGTCATCACCATTGTGTTCCCCATGGATTGAATTTTGCAGCATGTGTCTCTTAGAGAGAGGCCTTGCTAGCTCTCCGTAGCTTCTGGCGTGGCCTGTACCATGACCTCTTTCTTACCTCAGACTTAGACCAGGTCACCCGGCTGAAGAGCTGCTGCATTCAGAAATCTCCATTCATGTATTTGCTCATTCCAGGAAGGATTTATTGAGCACAGGATTGCAATTTCTGATGCATGTTGTCCAGAGTCATAGCTAGAGTCTAAGACACCATCACAAACCTTTTATGCTCACCAGACCTTAAACAGGCCACAGTTTACCTCCACCAACTATTCTGCAACCCTAGTTACCTCAGGCAGGACCTCCACGATCTCTGGGTCAACTCACAGGGATTCTAGCCCAAAGTGTGAAAGAAGTTATTAAAAGAATCAGCCAGGTTGCTTACATGAATCAATAGGGTCCCAGGTATTTTCTCTGGGCAAAATAATACTTATTCTTTGCCTCGATAAGTAAAATTTTTTATTACCTGGTTAGCTGTCCTTTAAGATCCTATGTTCTTTCAATTGTTTAAAAGGGGACCCATTTCAGAAGTTCTGTGATGCGCACAGGGGACTTGGGAGTAAATCTTAGCTGGAGCTGGGACTGCCGACTCCTAATCCAAAGCCTTTGATGCCAGATACTTCCACAGAGATGAAGAGGCTCAAGAGAGGGGAAGCCTGGCCTAGCCCCTTGCAATCAGCAAACCAGGTCTGTCCACTCAGCGCTGCTGGGGTCGCGAATGTATCCGACAGGTTATTCTGACCAGAGAGACTATCTGCCTTTCTGGGGCATCAGGGATCACAGAAGTTAGTAACAATCCTCGTTATTCTCACCTTCCCCTCTGGGCCAGGGGAAGAAAAGGAAGCAGCACAGGGAGCGCAGCCCTGCCAGCCAGGGTGGCGATGTCCATCTGACCCCAGTGCAGGCAGAGGCAGAACTTTCCGTGCACTGCCCTGGGTGCTTCATGTTGCTTCATGTTGCGGTGACCTAGGGAGCAGCTGCTGTTATTTCTAGGTTTTACTAGGCACTCAAGCAGCAGGTGAACTGTGAAGAATCACCTTGACCTTGGTCCCTTCCTGCAGAAGTCTAGGCTGATGGTCACGATCTACTGAACGACTTCATTAAGAGTAAGTAGGCTCTGGAGTTTGACCGACAGGTTGGAACAGAGCTCAGCTCTCTATAGCTCCAGCTGGGAGCCCATATACACCACCTGCTCTCCGCCGACCCTAATTTGCGCTCTTGGTAGGTGGAAGGGCTATTTATTTGAAATTATGAGATGGCTATTCTAATTATGTGTTTTCAGTGACCATGTTTTCATTTTACTCCTTCGTCATAGGCTAGCTCTGGTGGGGTAGTACCTGCTATTATAGGTGTACGTGTGTGTGTATATACACACATATAAACATATGTAAACCTGGGTAGTTTATGTATTATAATATATAGGTATATATTATTATAATTATCTGGTGATAATTTATATCAGAAATTGAGTATTAATTCATACAAAAAATCCAACAAAAGTGTTTTATTTATTTTTATTGTTTAATAGAACAGCTGTCAGGTCTTGTGGAGGAAGCAGGAGCAGGGATGGGAGAAGGGGCAGAGAAAGGGCCAGCTCTCTGGTTTATCAGCTGTGCCAAATAGCTGGAAATTTACTTCACAAAATAGTACTGCCCTCAACTCTGATTGGTTTAGAGTCTCCCACTCACCCCACATGTTCCCGTCACCATGGCCCAGTACTACATGCTCACTATGGCCACCTGTCCAGGTCATCGAAAGGGAGGGGACATCCGAGAGTAGGAAGAAATGGGAAGCAGTCAATTCTTAAGCCTGATGTTTAGAGCCCAGGGAGTGAAGAATGGGGGCCCACGAGGTGGGGGCAGGAAAGAGGACTACGGGTGGGGCAGGTCACACTTCTGCCTCTCCTTGACCTGAAACTGAAAGTCTTGTGTAGGGACACAGGTAGATCACTCAGATGGACTGTGTGCACTGAACCACGGGCCCCCACAGGATTCACTCCCCTATCTCCTCCCTTTTCTCGAGGCTGGGTCTCCCACCTCTCCCATCCAGCAGGATGCAGCCCACATGCGGTCTTAGACCCTAAGCTGGCAGGGCATCGCCTCTTCCGCTAATGTGCTGTAGAGCTGTGTCCAGTGTTTACCTGCAAGAGTGATGCCGTCCCTCTGGCATGCCTCCCTTCCCAAACGTTCCCCAGTGGGTTTCACATAGTGCCAAGGTTTACCAGAGAGGCAAGCTCGTGTTTGTGTGAGGTTGCTAACCCTGGCAGTGTGGCTTCGGCGTCCTTACTCCCGGTTGAAAAATCAACAGACAAATCCTCAGGACTGCCATTTGGGCACCGCTGCGGAACGGAGGACTAACCAAAACCAAACTGAAGAAGCAACCACGAATCATAGGTACTTTCCAATATCTTTTCATTTTAATATCAATCGATGTTTTAAAAAATACAGAGGTGTTTGACACAGAATAGCACCATTGTGTAGGACACACACAGTTCCTGCGCCCGGCACCCGAAGGGGGGCCTTCTGGCCTGGGCTGGGGGCAGTCACTCAGGGAGTGTTTGACTCACACAAGTTAGTTTCCTGCCTCTGCCTTGACCCGAAGGTCTTACAGGAAGACAATAAATAAATAGAACGCCGAGATTTTATTTTGCAGTCTGCCCAGTTCAGGTCTCTTAGGGGAGAAAAGTCCGAACTGCGAGAGGGTGGGACGAATGGACATCAGGTCAGGTCAGCCATTCAGTGCAGAGTCCTAGAGTGACTGGGATTGGAAAGTACTTGGTCCTTTGGGTTTGCGACGGATTGTGTTGTTTCTGGGTTTGGGTCTTTACAAGAAGCAGACTGGCCCTATGTCCACACCGAATTCCTGCTCAGGCCCTCCTATGTCCATGGGTGCAATGTCAATGATGGGGAGGCGTGAGGTCTTCTGTGACCGGTACTCGATGACAGTCTTGCCCCACTTACCGGTGTGTTTCTAGGGGAGAAAAGGAGGCCCTGTTTAGTAGACACCTTGCTACCCAGTTCCAGCTGCCCAGGAGCCCAAAACTGCACAAACTGGTGAGCATCAGTGCCCACAAGGTTGAACCACACTGAGGGGTTCCTGAGACCTCTTCCTGGCTTACCAAAGGCATCTCCACTTCAAAACCGATCCTTAGCAGCCGGGCCCTCCTCCACCCTGCCCTTCACCTCCTTCCCACTCCCCAGAGTGAGCTCCCAACCTGTGACTGCTTATTCACTCTGTACACATTGCTAGAACGCTTCTACCACAGTCACTGGGGACCGTGTAGGGTTTTAGTCCCCTGAGCCGGGGACTGGAGAAGACGGAATGATATGTGCGTCTTCCTCACCTGTCACTCGGCTTATCTTCTCTACATGATCCCTCAAACTCATGCCTCTGATGATCTGTCACTTTCAGACCTGACGGCTGCTGTAGGCTGACCCTCAGCCCTGCTCCAGGCAGCCCAGGCCCAGGCAGCTCTTCTCTCTGGCAGCCCGGCCAGCCCCACTCACCGTGCAGCCGTCCTTCAGGGCAGTGTACGTGAACCTGCTGTTGCCCTCTGCCCGGATCTCCACGTCGTTGGAGCCCTGGATGAGCAGGGCCTTCTTGAGGTTACCAGCTGCTTCATCCAGGTAGGCAATGCTGTTCTTGCAGTGGTAGGTGATATTCTGGGAGCCTTCCGTGGACAGCAGGCGTAGGAAGGTCATCTGGACGTTGGCAGTGTTGGGAGCCAGGTTGTCATCTCCATAGCTGAACTGTTGACAGAGAGTGGCAGTGTGAGGCCTGGGAGCTGGCATTCAGTGGGACCAGGGGATGTGGGGGCTGCCAAGAGTTCAGGGATCAAGGAGCTCAAGGGTGCTGGGACAGCAGGGAGCTAGTTGGACAATTTTGCTTCCGGGAGGGGAGCGAGCTCAGAGGACCTCTTTCCCACCCCCACACGGGAAAAAACTACTCTTCCTCCTCTTTCCCTCCTCTCAAGCCCAACAGAAAACTGGAGGAAAATGTGGGGAAGGTGCTGAAAGTTCCCAGGGAGAAGAAAAGAAGGAGTCTGAGAAGCCATCTCTGCTCATCACCGAGGGCACCCAGGGAGAAGAAAAGGAGTCTGAGAAGCCATCTCTGCTCATCACCGAGGGCACCCAGGGAGAAGAAAAGAAGGAGTCTGAGAAGCCATCTCTGCTCATCACCGAGGGCACCCAGGGAGAAGAAAAGAAGGAGTCTGAGAAGCCGTCTCTGCTCATCACCGAGGGCACCCAGGGAGAAGAAAAGAAGGAGTCTGAGAAGCCGTCTCTGCTCATCACCGAGGGCACCCAGGGAGAAGAAAAGCAGGAGTCTGAGAAGCCATCTCTGCTCATCACTGAGGGCACCCAGGGAGAAGAAAAGGAGTCTGAGAAGCCATCTCTGCTCATCACCGAGGGCACCCAGGGAGAAGAAAAGGAGTCCGAGAAGCCATCTCTGCTCATCACCGAGGGCACCCAGGGAGAAGAAAAGAAGGAGTCTGAGAAGCCGTCTCTGCTCATCACCGAGGGCACCCAGGTACTCACATGGAAGCCACCGTTGATGGTTTCTCCAAACCAGATGTGTTTCTTCTCCTTGCTCTTGCTGCTCCACCAGTTCTTTTTGGGAACATTGGCTGGGTTGGGGTAGACGCAGGTCTCGCCAGTCTCCATGTTGCAGAAAACCTTCATGGCGTCCAAGGTGCAGCCCTGGTTGGGGTCAATCCAGTAGTCTCCTGCAGGGAAGAGGCAGCACCCATGGGGCTCAGACAGGCACAGACTCAAGGATTGAGAGGGCCAGCCCTGACTGAAAGAGACAGAAAGGCCTACAGTGACAAGGAGTGAGGTTCACACGTGGCCTGAAAGGAGGAGACCTGGGAGGATGCAGGGGCAGGGAGATCGGCCTGAGTGAAGTCCAGCCCTAAGGAAGAACACAAGCCAAGAAGGCAGGAGCAGCGCCCAGCTGGCGGGCGGAGTCCACCCTGAGGTCACCTCAGCCAGGTAGCCATGGCAAGACAGGTGCCAAGGCTGCAGCTTCTCTGCTGTGAAATGAGAGCACAGCCCTCTGACAGAACCTTCTAGGCCCAGCTCTGCCCTGTACTAGATGCTGCTGTGCCTAATGGGCTGACTCCCTGCTCCCCGGGGCAGGGGATCCTGTCCTCCAAGCTTACCGCTCTTCCACTCAGGGTGGCAGAGTTTCAGGTCTCGGCAGGTGCGGGCAGGATTCTTGCGGGAGCCCTCGGGGCTGCGGATGCTCTCGATCTGGTTGTTGAGGGACTTGAGCGTGGCATCCACCTCGGCGTCATGCTGTCTCAGGCCACCGGCTGCCTGGTCGGCCCGCATGTACTGCAGGGGGTCAGGGCCCTTCTCTCTCTGGCCAAGGCCAGCAAAAGCGGACATGTCAATGCCAGGGCCAGGGGGACCTGGAGGACCAGGGGGTCCAGGATTTCCAGGAGGACCCTGCAGCAGGAAACAGAGAGATCAGCCAGGATTGTGGGAAAGTGCCCCTCCACGTCCATCCCCATTTGCTAGAATGTACTAGAGTGTCCCTCTTCCAGCCCCATGGGCGAGGCAGAGGTGTAGCAGCCCAGGACGAAGGAAACCACAGCACCATGCCTATTCCTTCTCTAGCCCCTCCCTTCAGTTTCCCAGCACTGATCATGAGCCCCGCGAAGCTCTGAGGAGGCCTCAGGATAAAAGATGCCATTACTGTTGGCTGCAGGCTGAGGCCCTGAGCAACAAAGAGCTCAAGCCTCCCGGATGCTGGGGACACCTCGACAGCAGGAAAGGCGTCAGGACACTTACAGCGGGGCCAGTTTCGCCTGATCGTCCACGGGGACCAGGAGGCCCAATGGGGCCAGGGATTCCATTAGCACCATCTTTGCCAGAGGGGCCAACGGGGCCAGGAGGACCCTGCAGGCGAGAGAGGTCGTGAGGAAAGAGCGGTCACAACAGGGAAGACTGCAAGTCACTGGGGCTGGGGAGGTGACCGTCCTGACAGCACCAGCCACTCTACCCCCAATTCCTCACGTGCTCACTTAGGGAGCCCTGAGCTGGTCTCTATCTGGCCAAGAACCAGCAGGGTGGCTCCCTACCCTCCTAGGCTTCTCTTTGTAAAATGCTGTTACCAGGGGTGTGTCTGACAGCCACGGCTGCTATGTTTGTCTTACAGCTACTGTGGCCTCAGGTGCTTTTCTGGCCATAGTCACATGAGCCAGTCCTGCCCCCACTGCTGAGTGAGGACCCCTGAGCCCAAGGCTTCCCCAGAAGCAGCAGCATTTCCCTCACCATGGAAACACCAGGCCTGCACCCTCTGAAGGGCTCCCTCCATCTCCCAACTCCATGTCACTTACTCTAGGGCCAGAAGGACCAGCAGGACCAGAAGCACCTTGGTCTCCAGAAGGACCCTGCGTAGAAGGAAGAGGCAAAGGGCCGCGGTCAGCACAGACATATCCATCTATTTCCGGGGAGCTGGCGGAGCGGCTTTCTGTCCCAGCCCCTTCCCTTTCCACTTCCTCCTCCCCCCAGCCCTGAGGAAGTCCTGGAAACTGCTTAGGGTGAACTCAAGCTGTCCGGGCAGCATGGGGGGCTCCAGTGGGCTCTGAGTGGCAGGAGGCCTCAGGAAGCCCCACACAGGCGGTGACACTCACAGGGGGGCCGGGCAGACCCTGCAGACCAGTGAAGCCACGGTGTCCCTTCAGGCCTCTCTCTCCAGGCTCTCCAGCCTCTCCTTTGTCACCTCGGGGACCTTGAGGACCCTGGGAACAAGGCAGACACAGATTGAGTCAGGTCAGGGCCAGCAGCCCCATCCTGTCCCACCCAGGCCGAGGGGTCCCTGGAACCACAGGGTCCCGGCTGCCCTCCAGGCCCGCCCCGAGTGGGGACTCAGTGCAAGACACTTGGATACTCACCGGGATTCCCCGGGCTCCAGCTGGTCCCGAGGGTCCCATGGGGCCTTGTGCACCCTGAGGAGAGAGTGAGATCAGCGTCAGAGAACAGCCAGGACGAGTGGTGGCCTCCTCTGCATCTGCCCCCAGCTGGGCACCGAGGCCACCACTCCATGGCCCAGAGACCGAGAACCCGGGGACTGCCTTGGAAAAGGCAGCTTTTACTGCATTCAGGCTACTCACAGCTTCTCCTCTGTCTCCCTGCTTGCCAGTTGGACCAGAGGGGCCAGGAGAGCCAGGGGGCCCAGGGGCTCCAGGAGCGCCCACGGCACCAGTCTCACCACGATCACCCTGTCAAGAGAGAGGTCTCAGGCTCAGAGAAGAATATTCCAGAAGAGTCAGGAACAAAAGGTCCTTCCACACTGAGCCGAGACTGGTTCCAGCCTGCCACCCCTGGCTGACCTGTCGGGCCCAAGGCCATGTCCTCTCCATCCCACCACACACACAGACCCCAGACACTCACCTTCACTCCAGCCGCGCCATCTCTGCCAGGGGGACCATCAGCACCGGGGCTTCCCTGGACAAAGGAAAACAAGAATGCTTTTACAGCTGCTTCCTGCCCGTGTCCTTCTCTGCTCCCCCAGCATCCCCTCGACCCCGTCAGAAGCTCAGGCCTCTTCTCTTCTGCCCAACTCACTCACACTTTGGAGCCAAAGCTTCCTCACCGAGTTCCCCTCCTCCTCCCCAGCTCTTGGTCTCTCCCCCATAAGCTGCCCGTGTGCCTAGGCCCTTGGGCCTGTCGGCACCCCCTTCTCCAGGGCCCCACCTGGGACTTGCCCTGGCTGGCCCAGCACAGAGACTCACAGAGCCCCTCTCCCCAGTCAGAGCCCCCCCAGGGGTCCCACTGCTCACCTCTCGTCCAGGTTCACCTGCAGGGCCGGTCAGGCCAGGAGGACCCACGGGGCCAGGAGGACCTCTGTCTCCAGATGCTCCAGGAGCACCCTGCTTGCCGGGCTCACCCTGCAGAGACAGAGACAGGGACAATGAGTGCACAGGGACGGCAAGTGCCCCTGCCCAGGGCCCACTGACCCTTAGGGAGAGGGCAGACGGGACAGTCCTGAGGGTGCTGAGGGCAGCAGAAGCCTTGGCAGGCAGGGCTCAGCTCAGCTGGAGGGAGGGACCCCCACACTTACCGATGGGCCGGGCAAGCCGGGGAACCCTCTCTCACCACGCTGCCCAGGCAGACCGACGATGCCTCTCTGACCAGCCAGACCCTGGGGACCTGGTGGACCATCAGCACCCTGAGAGAGGAGAGATGGGAGATGAGAACTGACAATGGCCCGGCCTCTTCCCACCCTCTCAGCACAGCTCACTCTGTGCAGCCCTGGTCCCTGGTATCCCCAAGGCCCCGCTCTGTCCTGCCTGGTGCTCTGAAGCCACTCACGACCCTGCTTCCCGGGGCCTCGGCATAGGCCTGGTGAAGGACTTACAGAGGGACCGTCATCTCCAGGCTCTCCCTTCTCGCCAGGCGGTCCAGCAGGACCTTGGAGGCCGGGGTCACCAGCTCGGCCAGGGGGACCGCTGTCTCCTCGAGCACCTTTGGGACCATCTTTTCCAGAAGGACCAGGGGGGCCAGGGGGGCCAGGGTTGCCCTAGAAGAGGAAAATGCAAGAAGTGAGGGTTCATCTCACCCTTCCTCATTCGGGCTGTCAAAGCTACTGTGGCCTCCACGACAGCAGTTTCCCATGTGGGGGCTTCTCTACATCCCCACACTAAGGGCAGCCTCAGCCTTCTATCAGCTCTGGGCTGCCAGCCCCAGCTTCGCCAGCCCCTGCTGCTTTTCTTTCTCCCATCTACTTGGAATCCCTCCTCCCTCCTCCCTCTTCCCTCCTCCCTCCTCCCTTCGTCCCCAATCTCCCTTCCTCAGGAGCCGCTCCAGCCCTGCCCCTCTGACCCCTGAGCCTTCTGCTTGCCCCCAGCACTCGCTCCCTCTGCCCAAGGTGCCCGTGAACACAGTGACTTCATCACCTCCACTCCCTCCATGCAAACTCCCTGAGAGTGACCCAGGACGTGAGGACTTTCTTTAAAGCACACAGCCAGGTGCACAGAACATGCTCAAGAAACGTCGGCCCAGGATGAAAGTAATCGTGGCAGCCCTGTGCCGCCCACCAAGCCGGCAGAGCAGCCACCCATGACAACAGCAGGGCCACAACCCTGCCCCCAGCCACCCTCAGGGGATAAGTCCCCATATCAGTTAGCTGCTCCTCCCGGGAGCGGAAGAGACTCAGAGGAGTGGAGGCCGGCATGGAGCTCTGCAGACCCTGTCGGGTGCTGGGCCAGGTTATCCGGGCCTGCCTGTGCCTCTCATGCCAGGAGCATCACTTACATTGGAGCCTGGGGGTCCAACGCGGCCAGCAGCTCCAGGGAATCCGGTGGCTCCCTGCATGGGAAGAGGAGAGCCCCTGAGAACCTCAAGCCCTCAGGAGGTTTGAGATTCAAATGGGCCAGTAGGGGCATCTCAAAGCTTGGTGTGGAAAGGGCGAGGGCTGCAAAGCAGCAAGGGGGAGCCAGGGAGGGAGAAAGGGCCCCTGGGTCTGGCCATAGAAGCAGGCACGAGCTGTTCCCCTGCCTCCGGCTCCCGCAGTCAGCACTTCAGGGAGCTG